TCTAAACTAGGATAGTCCCGGGAAATCTAGAGAATGGTAGCTCTAGTCATCACTTACTGCACTGCTGTAACTGCAGTACGCAGATGTATACGTTGTAAAGATGCACGTGTTACACGTGGTAGAGCCATGCTGCAGCTATATTAGTAGTATAGTTGTAGCACGAATGGGTGGGCTCGACCGGGGAAGTACCACGCTCTCACAGAATACCAGCGTAAAATAGCAGCTTAATGCTGCTGTGTTTCGTATGGTGAGTGTAGAGAACCGGAGACCCTTTTTACTGGAAAAGAGGCATTCCATCTTAGTCCTCACGGGTGACAACGCATCTGCATTTTGATTCACAAACGAGGATAAATGTAGATGTCTATGGGCCACAGCAACCACTTACCATCAGGTGGACTGTGTGCTCGTTTGTCACCCTATCCTATTAAAAAAAAAAAATGCACAAGATACATATTGCTACATAATTAGAATCAAAGACTGCATTACAAGAATGTGTAATAAAATACGAAGTATATAAAAATATATGAAAAAACACACACACACACACACACACATACACACACACACACACAAAGTAAATTAATATCATCATTTGACTAAAAATAGCAACAGAGACGACTACGATGATTTATAAAAAACTAGTTAAATTAAACGTTGGTTAGTAAGATAAAAAAAAATTAAAATTAAGTAAAATTAATTTTGTTATGTACTTAAAGTATATTTTTAAAAGAATACTGTACTAATGTTAAAGACTCGCTGCCCGCGGTGTAATAAAATGAGAAAACAGGACGCCGCGCCGCCTGTTGCTGTTGCGCTTTGCGCTCTCTGTCGCACTTACGGGCCTTATTGACGGTCTGTTGTAAGGCAAGTAAGTGCGTGCGTGCGTTCTTTTTCGCCATTTTATTTCACCGCTGCACAAACCGCGAGTCCTTAAACTTAGTATAACAACGCTATCAAAGTTTTAGTGGTCCCCCTTTTTTATGATCTGACGTTCCTGCTAACTACTTCAACTACGTTGATAATTTTTGCGCTAGGTGCGGCTTACAACAAAACGTGGCGGGTGACATGGGGGTTGTCCTTCGCTCTTTGCAAAAGACACGATTATAAATTTTCCGCTCGCTCCATATGAAGTATTGGTGGAGAACTCCTGCTCTATTCTCTCTACGAGAAGCAGCCTATATGAGCTAACGCTGTCGGGGCTTTGGTAGTGTGTGAAAGCGTTTTCCTAGCTTTGGCAAAATGTGAAGAGATTAACACCGGGCTTTCACCGGTAGGTAATTCGACATAACCTGTCTATCAAAAAATGGAAACTTTCCCACGTACAAAAAAGGTGCGGCATACTACAGGTGTTCAATGGCAGATTCCAGCCTAATCCATTACCATAGGGCTACTGTCGTAAATGATAATAATTTTTAATCCTGTTTTTTTATTTATTACAAACCAGTGCTTTACTACCATAATTCGGTTAGCGGTGATAATCTAAAGATGGTAGAGCACACTGGCATAATTTAAGAAAAGCCTTATTATACACTCTTGCACACAGACGCTAGTGGTGTACGAAAGGCAGTCTACCAGCACCTATTTGAACCGACTTCAATAAAAAGGAGGAGGTAATCAATTAGACTATTTTTTTTAATATGTTACCTCAGAATTTTTTTCTAGGTGAACCGATTTTGACAATTCTTTTTTTATTTGAAAGTTGGTGCTTCTCATGTGGTCCCATATAAATTTGATCAAGGTATGACCAGTGGTTTTTGAGTTATCCTAAATAATGAGTATTTAATTGACTTCGACTACATTGACGATGTTCTCATTTTATTTATATTGAAGTTGGTTGTAGAAAATTTTTAATTTTACCACTTGTCTTTCATAGGCTTCAATTTCTGCCACGGAAAAGTTTGCGTATGACATATTTGTCCATATGCAAATTACGTATGTAAATCTTCTTCGAAACACAGAAGAATATCATGAAAATATAAATCTATAGTTCGGAACCTTCACCATCATCTGCCTTAAAAGTCCACAGCTAAATATGGGCCTAAAAGTAGATTAACGTCTCCCATTGAAGGGAGGCGTTAATCTACTTTAAATTTTTGGAGAGCTATACCAGATATATCGCACCTTTAACGCTGCTATCCTTCGTCGGTCTAAGTATATACTTAACCGCAACAGACCTAAGATAGATATAGCACCATTTGACCGAAGCAAGGGCTTTTTACATTTACTTTTTTACATATATATTTTTTTACTTTTTTACCTATACTTGCGTACTCGTGACAACCACATGACAACCACACGATGAATGGTTTGTCGTTTCAAGAATATCATATAAAAAGTCCTTCTCTCTTCTCTGCCTATGCCTCATAATCCTAGTGGCCTTAAACGTAGTTGCTGATCTTGAGGTTCGAATACGGGTCGAGCCAAAATTAGTTACTGAGTTTTTCTGAGAAGAAATTCTCAGTAGCAGCGCTGAGTCAGGAAGCTGGCGGTGTTTCACCCCCGTGCCTCGGGAAGCACGTAAAGCCGTGGGTCATGCGCCTGATCGCTCTCCAGTCGTGTTGGATTCCGTCCCATCGGACTATGAGAGTGAGGAAATAGAAACCTGTGTTTGCGCATGCACTTGGGCAGTATAATCCTATCCTGCGTCGATGGCCGCTGTGACCTATTCTCAGTTTGGAGAACATTGTTATTTTTTATTTTATTTTTATAAAAAGTCTTTATTCCTCAGTAAAGTAATATGACTGCCTCGTTGGTCTGTTGCTCGTAAGCGCGACTGCTGGCCATTAGATCCTGGATACCAATCCAGGATCGGACCAGAATAAGTTATTGGGATTGTCTGTCAAGATATTCTCAGTAGTGGCCCGGAGTTAGGAAGTTGGCGGTGTCTCACCCCATGCCTCGGAACCAAGTAAAGTTGGTCGCTACGTTAGCCACACGTTGGTCCTGCGCCTGATCTGATCCGATCGTGTTGAATTGCTGTCCCATCTGACTATGAGAGTGAGGGAGTTGAAATAAAACGGTGGTTTTGAGGAAAGATTGGTTGTCTTAAAGATGGTAGCCCAGAAACTCCAAAGACGTTAAGCTGACTTTTATATACATTTTAATGAGAAAAGTAAATTGCAGAACACGGCTGTCAACAAAGTGATTGTGTAAAACAATAAAATAAATAAAATCTCAGATTTATGTGTTTATTTATTCATTATTATATCCACTGCCGAACATAGACCTCCCCATAGATTGCTTCATAGGGGAGATATTGGCCATAGCTGCTACACCTGACAGGCGAGTTAGCGACCGCAGTTTTTTACCTTCGCTGCATGGTATGAGGAAAATGCTTTTTTTCCACATGATGGCAAGTGGAATCTGGAGCCCTTAGACATCCACACCTATCCTCAATTAATAATCAAAAAGCAGAAGTGTTGTCACCACTGAGGATCAAGTTGCCTCGTTTCGAATAAAAAGGGCCTCCGGTTCTCTACAATCACCATTAGAAACACAGCATTAGGTAGCTATTTTACGCTGGTATTCTGAGTGTTCTTTTATTGTGAGAGCGTGGACCTACCCCGGTCTAGCCGAACCAATCGTGCTACAACTGTAATATAGCTGCAGCTTGGCTCTACCACGTCTAAAATGGGGAAGAAATATTGAGTGACGACTTGAAAAGAGATGTAGAACGTCAATTATTGCAGGTGATCATGATTAGTTGGTTAAAAAATCTAACATGATGTAGAATCACCTGACATGTCATGGACTTCATAGTATTGTATGTATCTATTAAAATTATCAATCACATCACATAAATAAACATAATCTAAATTGCATTATGACTATAAATTTTTTGTCAATATCATAATTATCATTTTGGCAAACTATTCAGCAAGGTACTGAAAACTCATCATTTAGTTTAGTATCGCTATGGTCTAAACACATTTCTCTAAATAGAACACTAAATTATAGTGTTAAAATGATAGAGCCGATTTCATATACATAGCTTTAAAAATTGGCTTTATGTTAACAGCAAAATTATCTTATTTTTGACAACTCGCTACGTATGGAGATATTTTGGGCGATGGTTTCTGCCTCGTGTCCGTTCTCGCTGATATTTACACCCAAAGCGTTTTACCGTCGTATAAAACACGCTATATGACCCAATAGCGCTTATTTTCTTCTCAACTTTTGTAAGAGAGCCATCTAGTGGTGTACGTGTTAAAGCACACGCGAGTGTAAATTAGTGAAAATTATTTTCAGTGCAGCGTCTGAAGAATTTTTCTGTACAAAATGCCTGGTCGTCCCATTTGGCAGGTAAAAATTTGCAGACTTATAATTATAACGCGATATTTGTTAATTAAAAATGTTAATTGTGTAAATTGTAACAATAGGTGTATCAAACAAAAAGCGCCTTGTGCTTACCAACGCAACGCTTTGTTTGATTATTATCAAACAGTGATTAGTGAATACCTTATTATATATAGCGGATTCTTTACAATTTTATAAAGTACATTGATTAATCATTAATTACAAGTGTAAATTACATATTATGTGATCCCATTTGACGTAAAATTGCTAAGCTATGACTAATCTTGCCTCCGTAACCTTGAATTTTTACCTGAAAGAATTAGGTCACGCACCTGATTCTTTCAGGTAAAAGTTTTTGATAAAATTATTTTACTGAGAATTCCGACGCAGAATCATGTTAAAATGCACTGTTATAATATTTAGTTTTGTATTTAGGAAAACAGTGTACTTAGGAGTAAAATATAATAAAATCTATATTAATAACAATTTTACAATCTTTATTTACAAATTTACATTTACGTCCTGCTCCTTAACTATACTTAACATACATTTTCATAAATCACGTTCAATACTGCTCTATAAATTATTTATTTTATTTTATTAACACAATCATGTTAAAAGTATTAGCAAAAAAGTGATCATGTAAAGGCACCTATAAATCTAAAAAACCTACTTAAATACGTTACATACGTTTTTTTACACAATCAGACTTTTTTGTCAGCTTTCTTTAATACCGAGCTATTTTTAATATCTCCAATCATGTAATTCGCAGGTAAGTTGTGGAATAATTGCTGCATGAAACCAAGTAAAATATCTTCTATAGTTTTTGATAAGATTGGACGTAATGATTCTGATACTGGCCTCCAGTTGGCGTTTAGGTAGGCGTTGGTGCTGTCCTCTGAAAAAATACATATTGAACATAAAAATTATATCAGAAGAGCAAATATTGATATCATCTAAGTTATCAAGAATTTCATGTGTTAAAAAAAGATTCCTAAAATGTAAATTATTTAAAAGCCTAAATTGTTTTTTCTTTCGTGCTTGGAATGCAAAAGTCGCGCACGTTTCCTTTGTGGGCAAGTTTGATACGTTGCTAATTGCAAATCTATGATACTAGGATATCATAATACACAGGTACTACTGCTCACTAGAGACATCTGTATTTATATTACACAATCATTTCGCAGCACTACGATTTCATCGTTTATAGTCGTTATCACAGATGGCGCCACTATATAAAAACTCAACTTACCTAATGATGAAATACCATCAAATAGATTATTCATTCGCAGATTTAATCCTCCTATGGTATATTTCACATGTGCCCCAGTTACATTAAAAAATACAAATTCGTCTTTTTCGTACAACTTAACGTCACTTAAAATATCAATAGTCATATTTGCTGAAACAACGAAACCATATTAATTAATCATGATTTTCTATTTGGCAGTAATTCAATATAAACAGATTTTCCGTATAGGTATCTATAATACTGGTAAAAAGGGTATTCTGTTCTCTAAACACAGTATACGACACATAGCGGTATAAATACGCTATTTTATGCTGGCGTTCTGTGAGAGGGTGGCCCTCCCCCGGTCGAGCCGGCCCATTCGTGCTGTAACCATACTATAGCTACAGCGTGGCTGTTCCACATGAATCTCTCCGGCATTTTCGATAATCACCTCTTACGACAACTACGGAAAATGAATGAACTTGACTTCAGTCGGTCAAGTGTAAGTGGAAATAGTAGGCTTCGCGAAATAGGAAAGTGCAACTAATAAAAAATCTAAAATGAGTACTTACTCGGCTCAAACCAGCAGAGACCCCGACCTACCAACGGAATTAACAATATTTTTCCCTTTAAATCATAAGTTCCTTCGATTCTTATTTTTGGTACTCGTACTTTCGTGTAGAAATCATACGTTTTGCTATCTACCCTGAAATAAATTTAAACAACTTTATAGTAAAGATAGATAAAGTATACCTATATCACCAACTATCGCATCTCTTTTTTTCGTAAGCATCTAACTCTATCTGATACCTATGTATATTTAAACCTTTATGCATCATATCGTTCAAATACTTTAAAGAAAGGTTACATTTTTATGTGTAAGCATTATTATGTGTTACCTTTGGACATATTTACCACATACCAATGTTGCGGTTACTGATAATGATATATGCTTTCATACTGGCCACATTAATTCTCCAGCGTTGTAGCCCATACACAATAATAAACGTACATATTTGGAAATTATACCTCTCACGCACTCATAATTTTTTTAATGTGCCAACTATACCAAGATACTTTTAATTTTAACATATAACCACCACAATCATTATCATCATCATCATTACAATCTATCAGAGTCAACTGTTGAACATTGTCCTCCACCATAAGTTGTCTAAAAGGGGGATATTTGCAACAGCTGCGACGCTTTACAAGCGAGTTGGGTTAGTTGGATTCAGTTCTTTCCAGGAAGATGCTGCTATCTCTTGCTTTAGTTGAAAATGGTTGGTTTTGACACAATCGATCATGCAATTTCTTTTAATAATACTTATAGTTGGTATCATAAATAAGAGTTAGCAGAAAATTTACCATTATCTAGAAAGAAACGAACCTATAATGCAAAAGTATTGGCCATATCTGACCAACGTTTTAGATGTAACACGGAATCTTGGAATAAAACTAATTTTACAGATTTATTGAAGCTTTTTTAATTTTTTTTTTGTTTAACTAGATACGAAAATTTGTCTTTCTCTCACTTTGCGTTTTTTTTTTAATACTATTAGGGTGAATAATGAACATTGAGGTAACGTCTTACCTGATGTGAAATGGTCATTATAACCTATAGAGAACTTATCGCACAATTAACTTTAAACAAAGAAGGGTAAATATGTGTTGTTGTCTTTCACCCCTGAGGACTTAGATGGAATACTTCACAGACTGTATGTACACTAGCACTCCTCGTGAATGGGAATAAAAAATATATGCAGAGGAGCTTAGCGGTAGAAACAAATAAGAGATACACCTATTCGGACTTCTATATGCAGTAAACTTCAATTTTTATCTCAACGTGAAAAACAGTTAAGACTTACTGATTGAGCAAAACCTCTGTCGCTCCAAAGCCGGTGACTATGACGTCATCGAGTGCCGCGTTAACATTCACAGGACCTTCGCCTTGTAAAATCCTTATTTTCGGAATTTTTAAAGGATCTAATGCGACCATACCAATTTCTGGTAAGCCTGAAACAAAAGTAATTTTGTGCATTTTTATCTGATTTTTAAGAATTAAATAAAGTTTAATGTCGCTGTTGTCGACTAGTGTAAACACGATGAAGAAATAGCGCTTTCGCTTTCCGCAAGTTATGCACCTATACATGTTTCGTAATTGAGGCTATGTTACTAGCCTAGTGGTTCGTGAACCTACCAACCCACTATCATTCTTAGCAATCTTTGCAATACCATACAACAGTATACAATAACGCAACATCTATGATCCCACTCGGAATATCGCAACACACTTGGTTGCTTCAACTTTTTATGAGTAATACATAGTTTTCCATTGAAATATATTCTCATCTAAGCGCCGATTTTTCATGATCAAATAAAAGTTATAATTATAAGATGAAATACATCATAAGTTTTTGTTTTGTGTATTTAAGTAATTAGTTCGTTTTTATTTTATTCAAAAACATTTAATTTGTTTGACGGGGTAACTTTTATTTACGGTGAGAATTAAAAATGAGGCCTTTGTAATCTATACATATACATATAATAAATCCGTAGAAAAAGTGTGTGTTCACGATTCACGCAAAAACTAACGAATGAATTTCCATGAAATTTTGTACGCAACACAACACAAGGCAACTTTTCATCTGCTTACGGAAAAGTAAAAAAAAGGGTAATGTTTGCCTTTTTTTTAAGTTTAATGTCATTATGGCTGCTAATGGTTCTATTAGTTCTAAAGAGGATTTATAATATATATATATATATATATATATATAGCTATACGTATTAAATTTATATAAAAGGGTGTGTGTGTGTGTGTGTGTGTGTCTGTGTGAAAATGAAACCAATCGCGCCACCAACCAGAAAGTCTACCGGGTCAGCTAATAAAAATATAATTAATATAACTAAAATTTTGTACAACCGACTTCAATATAAATTATTAAGAATAACTCAAAAACTATTGATCAAATGTATATGGGACCACATGAGAAGCACCAGCTTTGAAATAAAAAAAGAATCATGGAAATTGGTTCAGCCAGAAAAAAGTTATGGTAAACACACATAAAAAAGAAGAAAAAAAAAACATACAGTCAAAATTGAGTACCGTCACCTTTTTGAAGTCGATAGAAAATATACTAGGAATTCAGTTCTAACAAGAGTTATTAATTAACAAAGTGCATCGTTTTGTAACAAAACCACCGTACAGGCTACTTAATATGCATTTCTGTTGTTTAGTAACTCGCATTAAATCTTCAATTTGTTTTTAGTTTTCTACCTTGATGGAGGTCTGACCAATAGTTTTTGAGTTATTATTAATAATTTATATTATATTGAAATCGGTTGTACAAAATTTTTAATTTGATTAAAGGTGAGATTCGTCGACTAAGTAGGTTTGTATGGCTATAGAAAGTAAATTTAAATATAAATTGTTTACCGGGTCCCAGGGCCTTAAACAGTTGTTGCACGGCTTCTTTCGAGCAATCGTCAAATTCTGGGTCGCTTTTGTAGCATGTCTTTACGAAATCGGCTGAAATAAGTCACAAAATAAGTTAATTAACACATCATTTAAATTTTTTGTTCAAATTTTATATAAATACTATAAGTAAATATATTATACATTAACATTTTCATAATTGTTGTCATAGGCGAGTATTTTCATTTAGACTTAACAGCGGGAACTTGCTTTTCTTACTGTATTTATTTTATCGGTTAAACATCATGCCAAGACAACATATAAATTCAACAAAGACTACAAATCATTAGTTTCACTCAATTAATGACTTGCTTTTGACTTGTATTTTTCATTAAAAAAACCGGCCACGTGCGAGTCGGACTCGCGCGCCGAGGGTTCCGAACAAATCCGTAGGTATAAGAGTTTAAAATTATTAAAAATATTTTTATTATATGATGTAACTAAAATTTATACTTTTCGCAATTTTTCCTTTATCTGAGCTATAAAACGTTGCTTCGTACCAAATTTCAAGATTCTGAGTTCACGGGAAGTACCCTGTAGGTTTTGATTCCCTTGCGAATGTCGAAAATTTGCGGCATAAACGGCTGTATCTTTTGATTGTGTTGGCTTAGAAGTTTCATTTTTTCACAGCTCTAAGGGACAGTAGACTTGAGTATTTGATATGAATTTCAGCTTGATACCTCCACGCGTTCCTTAGAAAAAGGGTCTTGACAGACAGACAGACAGACGGACAACAAAGTGATCCTATAAGGGTTCCGTTTTTTCCTTTTGAGGTACGGAACCCTAAAAAGAAACGTTACATTTACACTGGATTTTCTCCTGTATCATGGAGGCAGTTTACCAACATAAATTGCATAAGGACATGCATCCAGACCCGAAACAATTATTTGTAGGTTATACAAATACTTGTTCCGTGCGGGATTCGAACCCGTGGCCCTCAACGCCGCCATTGCGCCACGGAGCCGTCCTACGTAGTACTAGTTACCAGAAATTTACAGTTCTTAATAATATTCCATTAAAAAAAAAAACGTACTTTGTAAGGATCGTGACACTTGGCGATCTGTTCTCTCTGGCTACCCCGTCAGGGATTGTGCGTGAAGATAAATAAATAAAATATAAACAAAAAAAAAACTATAAAATGTAGTGACTACAATAAATCGCATTATACGAGTATCTGTAAAATTACATAATGTTTTCGTAATGATTATCGTTTAAAAAAAAACCGGACGACGTGACCGACTGTTATTTGTTTACCTTCGAAATGGTCTCTGCAAAAGTATGTCAACGCCCGTAATCGCAACGCGCGATAATGAATATGTATCCAAAAAATATACTCACGCTTGGTCTTGTAATATTCGGCAGCTGAATAATGTAACACAAAAGACACTAATAACAGTTTGAACTGCATGTTTTAACGTTTGTTTACTCCGTGGCTCCGTGAACCCCGTCAGGTTCGTTCGTTAGCCTCGAGCAGGCTGTCGGAGCTGGTGGTTCGAGACTGTCCCCGCTATGTTCGCAACTTATGCCGCAACCCGCATGCTTACGAAGGAGGGGGCTACAATCAGTTATTGCTAACTATGTAAATAAAACAAACTTTGCCCTAGATAAGTTGCAAGATGATCACACACCCCTCCTTCGATAATTTTTGATATGTTTGAATATGTTGTGCTGCTCCATTGTACATTAACGGACTTATATAAGTCCGTTAACGGACTTATATAAGTCCGTCAATGTACAATGGAGCAACATTTTTCGCATATATTACTAATGCGTCGAGATTAGACCATGTTCTCTCATCTCTCTCTCTCTCATGACCTGAAAAGAGTACAGGTAGGACACCTGGTAGTCCGTCTGGGTAGGTATTCCGATTGAAAGGGTAAAGAGAGCCAACATAATTATTAATAGTTGTGGTATGAGTGAGGATACGAGTACAGCCTATTTTTTATATAGTATAAGGGTGGCCACCTCAGTTCTATAAAAAAGTAGTAGTGGTCTGAGAAATAGACGCAGGTAAACCATAGTGAATAGAGTTCGAGCATTAGTTAAAAATAAAAGCAAAAGATATTACTTTCAGTAATTGAACACATTCCATTGGTAACCCAAGTTATGGTGTTTAGAGATTCAAGTTTTAATCAACTAAGAAATTACTAATTAATTTTAATAAATATTAATAACTATTATTAATAAAGATAATAAAAAATAATCTTTCATAAATTTATTAAATAATTAACAGGAACTTCATGATTTGATTTGCGAAGACTCGGAAGTTCCCTGCAGAATAAAATCCAAAATGAAGATATCCGCAAAAGAACATGAGTAACTGACATAGCCCTACGAATATGTTTTTTTTTATAGGATAAGGGTGACAAACGAGCACACAGTCCACCTGATGGTAAGTGGTTGCTGCGGCCCATAGACATCTACATCAATCCTCGTTTGCGAATCAAAATGCAGATGCGTTGCCACCCGTGAGGACTAAGATGGAATGCCTCATTTCCAGTAAAAAGGGCCTCCGGCCACCTGCACTCACCGAGCGAAACGCAGAGGTAAACCTCTACTTCACGCTGGTATTCTGTGAGGTCGTGGTACCACCCCGGTTCGAGCCGGCCCATGCGTGCGACAGCAAAAGCTGCCGCGTGGCTCTACCACTGTTAAAATGTTAACTAAAGGGGCAATTTGGTGGCCATACAGCTGGAAGAAACTTTACGTGGTAGAGCCATGCTGCAGCTATATTGTGGTTGGAGCACGAATGAGTAGGTTCGCCCGAGGTAGGACTACGCTCTCACAGAATACCAGCGTAAAATATCAGCTTAATGCTGCTGTTTCGTGGGGTGAGTGTAGAGAACCGGAGACCCTTTTTACTGGAAACGAGGTAATCCATCTCAGTCCTCAGGGGTGACAACGCATCTGCATTTTGTGCCAATCATCCAAATGGTGTGGATGGTATCGGGAGTTCTGCCGCGATGTGCGTTCGTGAAATTTGGCAGGTGGGATTAATCCGAACAATTTCTCAGAGCACTCCCCGTAGTAAATGCGAAAGAAAATGCAAAGAGATGCAACATCTCTTCGCAGCGCCAACGAGTCGAGCCGATCGGAAAGGACTCGGTCGTCGACGATTCGAGCCGCTCTGCGCTGGATGCGGTCAAGTGGAAGGAGCTGGCACTGGGGAGCCCCAGCCCAGAGATGGGAACAGTATTCCATGTGAGGCCGAACCTGCGCCTTAAAGTCGGGGATGTAATTTTTCTATACACTATATACTTTAGCACCGACTTATGAAGCTATTATAAGGAAATAATTTTATTTTTTATCATATTTTAATAATAATAATATATATAATAATAATAATAACTTCTTTATTTGCTTAAAACATGGTATTTGTAGGTGGTACAGTAAAATAAGTTCACATGTTTTGCTTATAATTAGCATGCAAATTTAAGTTTATTTTACTACATTTGTTTAAAATAATTAAAAATTAAAAATATTGTACAGCCGAATTCAATATAAGTTATTTAAGAATAACTCAATAACCATTAGTCTGACCTTGATCAAATTCATATGGGACCACACGAGAACTATCAGCTTTTATATAAAAAAATAATCATCCAAATCGGTTCCCCCAGTACAAAGTTATGAGGTAACATATAAAAAAAAAACATACACTCGAATTGAGTACCGTCTCCTTTTTGGAAGTCGGCAGAAAAAGGGTCAAATACATTCATAAAAATAATATTAACAAATCAATAATTATTAAAACCTAAGGTCAATAAATTCTTTAATGTCGTACACGTTTAGTTCAATAAGCCACTTATATAGGCTCGATTTAAATAAATTCATTTTGAGGTTTTTAATGTTATTGGGAATCTTATTATATATCTTAACACACGTTGCTAAACAACTTTTTCTGAATTTAGCAGATCTCGGAATGACGCTTAACACTAATCTATCCGGATTTCTTTTCAATCTAGAGTTTATATCTCTGGCTTTCTGGAAGAGCTCAGTATGACTTTTGACAAAGCAACTCATTTCAAAAATGTACAGTGCTGGCAACGGCAGTTTTAAAGTTTAAAGTCGAATTTTATTTGGAAAGTTAAAAGATAAATGTTGGACAAAATGTTTTATAAATAAGCTATTACAATATATATAATGAGTCCACTGATTACCTCAGTCTATTATTGTTACTTATTTATATCGAAATTTGTGATTGTTATTGCAAATCGAGTTAGGCGAGTATATTTGCATATTTTGTCTCCCCGATCTAGGTCAATCAACACATTATTATTATTTCTTACACACGTGCAACGCTTTATTGCCTATTGCTGTTTTTTTTAACATAAAAGTATTTGTCAATATTAATTATGTTGTTTGAATAAGTCGTTAAAAGTGGACGGAGACAATAATTATCATATTTCTTTTTTTTTGTTGCTTCCTTAGTAACGCGCAACAAAAATTTATGTTAAAAAAGTGTTTCAATGATAACGTAATCAAACTCCTAAATTAATTGGTTAGGTAAAGACCACGAGGGGTTGCCTCAGACCAACGAATGGCTGGTAACCAGACGGCCTTGAGAATTGAACGGCGATCGGCACTCTTCTCTTACCGATAGTGAGAAAGGACAATCGGAATGTAAGAGCGGTAGATGGTCGTTCGCTATTGTTTGGTACAATCTAGGACTTTATTTTAACTAGAAATGATTCATTAAACTGTAAAACATTTTTTAATCTTTAATCTTTAAAAAACGTTACCTCCACACTAAGATTTTTCCTGTACCGTGGGGGCAATTTATATACATAAATTTCACAAGGACAAACATCCAAACCCGGAACAATTATTTGTAGGCCATACAAATACTTGTCCCTTGCGGGATTCGAACCCGCGGCCTTTAGCGTTGTAACTCATTGCTAAGCCACTGCGCCACGGAGCCGCCAAGTATAACAGTAATTATTGATGACTTTTTTCTTTGTCTTTACCTACCTTTTACCCTTTTGCGTACCCTTGTTGTACCCTTTGCGGTACCTACTTCATCAGAAATGTCTAAAAGGCGGCCTGTCGAAATTTCTTTCCAACCGACTTAAAAAAAGGAGGAGGTTCCCAACTCGATTGTATTTTTTTTATGTGTTACCTCAGAACTTTTTTCTTGGTGAACCGATTTTGATTATTCTGTTCTTATTTGAAAGCTATATAAATTTGATCAAGATCTGATCAGTAGTTTGAGTTATCCTTGATAATGCGTATTTGACTTCGACTACATTGATGATGTTCTCATTTTATTTATATTGAAGTCGGCTGTAGAATTTTTTTAATATTACCACTTGTGTTATTAACGTAAATTAAAGTACATTCATCATCATCACCATCATTATACCCTATCAAAAGGCCTCAGCTGAACATAGGACTTCCTCATAGATTGCTTAATATTCCCAATATTTGTCATAGTTGTCACGTTTGGCAGGCAGGTTGGCAACCGAAGTTTTTTATTATTTTGAGTTGTTAACAGGAAGATGCAGCTGCTCATCAACTGTTTCATTTTCTTCTGTTGCCTCTTACCCTTGTCACGGGATGATAGGGTAGTTTTGGTATTCCTCCCAAAATGTATTTATTTTATATTCATAATAAGGTATTTTTATGTGTTTTTTATAGGATGAGGGTGACAAACGAATATACAGTGCACCTGATGGTTGCTGTGGCCCATCGACATCTACATCTATCCTCGATTAGAAATCAAAATGCAGATGCGTTGTCACCCGTGAGGACTAAAATCGAATGCCTCATTTCCAGTAAAAAGGATCTCCGGTTCTCTACACTCACCATACGAAACACAGCATCATTAAGCTGCTATTTTACGCTGGTATTCTGTGAGAGCGTGGTCCTTCCCCGGTCGAGCTGACACATTCGTGCTACAACTATACTACTAATATAACTACAGCATGACTCTACCACATCTATACGTTATATTTAAGATATAATACATATTATTTTATCTTATTTATCATTTTAATATATTTACTACAATAGTATACATAATAGACTGTAAGAAATTTTCTGCTGGAGAAAGATTGCTTTAAATATGGGACAGTTTTCATGATCACCACTTCCAATAACTTATTAAAATTTAAAAAACCACCGAAACAAAAGGAACTGATGATCTTCAAACGCCTGAGCTGATTTTCTTGAAAAATAGCTAAGAACACTCTCCATTAAGACACCTTTAAACGAAAAAAATTTAATCAAAATCGGTCCATCCGTATGTATGTATGTATGTATATACATATAGGTGTGGAGTGTAACGTCGCGGGTTAATAACAGACTTTGTCCCACTAGAAGATTGCTCAAATCACACATTCTAACTTTAATTGTGTCTATTTTATATTCTAACTAATGAGTACTATGTTGGTCTGAGACTTATAAGGT